GTTGGTGTTGCCCGCAGCCCCCCCGGACGCCCGTCCCTGGGCAGGGCACTCACCACAGGCAGCTGCTGAAGAGGTCCTTGCAGGGGCTCTTCTGCAGGTCCTGCAGGCACCGGCTGGCGTGGGGCTGGCCGACCTCGGGCAGGAAATCCGGGGACTGCCGAGGGGAGCAGACGGATGCACACCCACACCCCAGGTACGTCGCTCCCGCATCCCACCCATGATCCCAGGTGGGCGATGGGTGCCACTGGGATGCCCGGAGAGCAGGGACGTGGCTCTGTGGCCAGCAAGGGACCCCCCGTGCCCCCCGCCACTGCCCCTGCTCCCATCCCATCCTCGCCCCATCCTGCTCTGGCTGCCTGGCGGGGGGAAAGCCCCCTGGGACTCACCTCCTGCTTGAGGAACCGGCAGATGATCTCCTCCCCCATCTCCTTCCGCTTCTCATCCGGGGAGAGCTCGTAGTCTGCCTGGGATGCCCGGGGAGAGGAGGGTGCTGCAGACAGTGGCACCAGGCACGGCTCTGCCCTGTGCCCCCCACCGAGCCCCTGGCCTCCCCAAACGAGGCACATCTGCCCCGGCCGTGGGGCGAGGGAGCTGTCTGCACCCGTGCCACGGGCAGCTGCCTGCACCGGGTGCTCACGGGGGGGCGTGCAAAAAAAAATGGCAGCCCTAGGGGGTCCCCCACACTGCTCCCCGCAGCAGGTAGCAGAGGGGGGCAGGGGAGCGGGCTGCCAGACCCAGGCCCGCTGCAGCCCGGGCAGCTCTAGTTATTCAAAAGGGGGAAAAAAATGTCCTGCAAGAGCTCTAAGACCCGGCACAAGCAGGGACTGTTTTACAGGCACGTGTTTCCCATTAGCAGCCCCCACGGCTGTTGGGTCTCTGCACGCCCGAGAGGCTCCAGCTGCTCCCCCCAAGGCCCCCGGCTTCCCAGGCAGCCCTGGAAAGCCGACCCCGCTGCGCAGGGCACGCACCCAGTGCTGACACAAACCACGCAGTAATGGGAAACACGGGTCATTTTATGAGGCTTGTGTTTCCCATTCGCCAGCATTTGAAACCTCCTGGCACCGGGGTAAACCTCGCAGCAGGTGTGGATGGATTCTCCAGCAGCATTTTGAGCTTGCTGGGACGGAGAGCCCCCTTCCTCCGGCACAACCCAGAGAGAAACCCGCAGCGCACTGGGATGGGGTGGTCTCTGCCTCCCCTGCAGCCCCCCGGGTACCGCTTCACAGCCACTGCCCTGGGGCTCACGCTGCAAACCTGCCATGGGACTCAGCAAAACCCCGACCAGCCCCATCTCGGGAAAATGCCTCTGCATGTCACCGTCCCCGAGCAGAGCCTGCACGGTGGCATCCCGCGGGGTCCCTCACCACGGCGTCCAGGAAGCGGATGCAGCGCAGGAGCTCCGGCCGCGTCTCGCAGAACTGCCGGAAAAGCAGCCGGCCGATGGGCTGCTTCTGGCACAGGCTGCCGTAGTCCTGCTCTGCAAGGGAAGGTGGGACGTGCCACGCACCGTACTGAGCACATGCCGTGGCCCCGCATCCGCTGTGCCCCCAGCACGGCCGTGACCCGGTGCCGTGCTGGGACCCGTGAGCCAGTTCTGCCGGTTCCCGGAGCCCTCCCCGGCTCACCCAAGCCCTTCCGCAGCTCATCACACTGGCTGACATGCGGGAACCGGAGGATCTCCCTCCACTTCTTGCTCCTGCCTTTCCGCTTGCCGCCACCTCCTGCAGCCGGGGGGAGAGGGAGAAGAGGTCACGCTGGCAGGATGGGCATCACTGCCCCGGCCCGGCCGGCAATGGGGGGAAAGGGGCGGCAGAGCCCCTGCCCAGTCCTGCAGAGCCGCCCGGTTTGGGGTTTCTCCCCATCCCACCACTACTGGTCCCCAAAACCCATTGCTCACACACGTACCCGCACACAGCCAGCACTGGGGCTTTGGGCAACTCTGAAGTCACGTGGGAAAAACACGCCCTCAGCCCTGGAGAGGGCTCTGACCCCTGAGGGGACCCTCCCCCCGAACAGCCGAGGGGATCCCCACCCAGTCACGGCTCCCAGCCCTGCTCCAGGGCAGGAATGGGATCCCCCTTGGCATCGCCCGGTGCCGGGAGAGGCCGAGCATGGCGGGTGCAGGCTTCCTCCCCGAACAATGCCGCGGCCCTGTGTTGCTCCATCCCGCAAACATCTGGTTTCCTTATCTCCCCACCGAGCCGCTCGTCCTGCACACAGGGCTGCAGCAGCCCGGCCTCTGCCTCCTCGGGGATGGGGACTCTCCAGGGACGAGGAGGGGGCAGAGGGATGGCCCTACAGCAGCAGCCGCTCCTCCCGGACTCGCGGGCGGATGCTTGGCGCGTGAAGTCATCCCTGCAGGGACCTGACATCAGCGCGGCTCTGAGCTGGTGGCCGGCCAGCACCGCCCCGCCGC